ACAGTAGTAGGATGTTGGGAGAGTGAATCAGCATGCTACCTTACAGTACATCATTAACTACTGCTCCTGATTAACATACTTTTAACTGGCACTATTAGCCTTTTGTGTATCTGATTTCTTTAAAAAAAAGTTTAAAAAATTAGTGAAGAACGAGCTCCAGTGCCATCTTTATTTCCTAGAAAGTTTGCAAATATCATCTAAGGCCCAAAGGCATTGTTGAAAACTAACATTGGTGGGTGGTTACAACGGAGCACTTTGCTCAAAGCATGACCAGCTGCCCCCTCTTCCCCTGGCCAAGCAGAAATACGTTCATTTCAAAGAAAGGACAAACAGATTTGTGCACACACGCTGCATGGCCTGCACTTCTTTGTTTGGAGAACTGTGTTGTTACTCTCAATCCACAGCTGCTTCAGCAGTAACCATAAAACAGCAACCATACTACTTCTTGACTTAAATCTAAGAAAAACATGCCTGGAAAAATCCATCTTGCTGTGAACTTTTGGACTTTAAATTCTTCACACTGGTACAAGCCTCATGGTGGTGTTTTAATCCACAAAAGCTTGTGTATTGTGTGATGACTTCTTAGTCGTCTATAAAGGTATTGCCTAATTTTTCATTTGTGCAGTATTTTTTAAAAAGGAGCAAGGAAGAGAGTGTTGTGTGTGTTTTGTCTCTGTGTGTTGTCGCTGAATTTGTTGTGTGTCTGTTTTACCTAAGGACATGAATCTCTGTCTCACAAGGAACATAGCTGTGTTTTTGTATCTGTGTGGTTTCTGTTTTCTTTTTCCCCTGAATGTGTAATATGAGTAGGTCTTTTGCCATTGTGGGTGGTTCTCACAGCATCAGCACTTTTAAGGGTGTTTTCTATGCTAAATATCTGATTTTGCATAGTAAACACCACTCCCACCTCTACATTCCCCAGCTTTTTGATCTAGTTACCCTTTGAGCCTTGTGAGCTTGTTTTCTATGAAATGAGTATTTTGTGAAGGGCCATGCCCACTTTTCCCTTTGCTGCTGTTTGTGCCTGGAATTCTCTTCTAGCCTAATGATGCAACACTACAGTACTTCGGTTTCTTCACTCAAATCACTCCTCCAGTCATACCTATTACTCCACATGTTTCATCTTGAGGTTCTTAGGTCAGGAGAGTATTCCTTCACTTAACTTGAAAAATACTATTGCAAACATTTATGTGAAGGTTGCAGTGTTAGTCTAGTAACTTCAACTCTCATGGCACCTGTAGGACTAATAAGCTGTAATTTAGCACAAGCGTTCATGAACATAGGGACGTGGTGGCACTGCGAGTAAAACCACAGAAGCCTCTGTGCTGCAAGGTCAGAAGACCAGCAATCGTAAGATCAAATCCACGCGATGGAGTGAGCTCCCGTCGCTTGTCCCAGCTCCTGCCAACCTAGCAGTTCGAAAGCATGTAAAAATGCGAGTAGATAAATAGGTACCACCAACACGGTGGGAAGGTAACAGCGTTCCGCGTCTAGTCGTGCTGGCCACGTGACCATGGAAACTGTCTTCGGACAAACGCTAGCTCTACGGCTTGGAAATAGGGATGAACACCGCACCCTAGAATTGGACACAACTGGACTAAATGTCAAGGGGAACCTTTACCTTCATGAACATAGCCCATTTCTTCAAACACATGGGTCCATACATCTGAGGAGCAGTGTTTGTGCAGGAAAGTGTCTACTAAATAAAACACATTAGTCTTAAAAGTGCCACAAGACTTACTGCTGTTGTATTTATGTAAAGAGCTATGCACACTAATGTATGATAATAATTAAATATTTGTGTGGTGGGGAAAGTATTTACATATATACAGCCTTGTCAGATGTGTAACTGGTGTTGTGTAACAAATTGGGTTTAATTCCTCTTATGAAACAGATAAGCAATGTTTCTTTGTAAACAGCTTGTACTGTATTTGAGGCCGACTACAGAAAATTTGTCTATAAGGAAAACCCCTGTGTAGGTCATGTGGAAGTCAAATTCTAAGTCAGAGGAAGAAAACTGTAGCCAGCAGAGGTCTGGAGCTTGGGTAAGGCCTGTAAAAATCTAAAGAAGTTGCAACTAACTGGAGTGTTATAGGGACGAGGAAAAAATGACCTTTTACATTCATTTGTTTATTTGATTCAGTTGATCAACCAGGTTGTTTTAACAAAACATATTCTTTCCATCATGTTGTCTTCATCAATTGCATTTTATAGAATCTCAGAAATGAAATACAGTACGTGTGTGTCTACAGAAGCACATAAACTGTTAACAGTGCTCTAATACATATACCAGGAGCTGAATCACTGTAATGTTAAAAAAGAAGTAGGTATAGTAAAGACATCCCCAGCCTGCTGTCCTCCAGATGTGTTGAAGAAATTCCCATGAGTTCTCATGACTGGACATGTTATCTGCGACTGATGGGAGCTGCAGTTCAAAACATCTGGAGGCATAAAGTTGGAGTAAACAGGTGCAGTCCAACAGATGCTTTCCTTGTGGGGTTTCTTCTTTGGTGATTTTAATATGACACAAAAGCAGGATATAGGGGCACATGCATGTGCATGTTAAGAGATGGAGAAATTGTAATTTGGGAAAGGACATATTATGAATTGAAAAGTTAACTACATCATAATATTTGCTGTTAATTTTTTTAAAAAGTCTTTGTGATTTGAGGTATCCTGTCTTGCGTGAGAGAAATAAGGAAAATATCTCTTTTGATAGGGTGCCCTTCACAGTTTTTGTGTGTATATGTAGTCAAAATAGGAGTTTTAGCAATCTAACGTAATTAACTAAAAGCAAGCCTTGAGAGAAGGTTGTAACAGCACTACTGTAGATCTTGTATTCTTGCTCTTGTCTAAAGAGACAGCAGCATGTGATTGCTCAAATCATAACACCTAAAGAGTGTCCGTTTTCAAGTGTGCATAAAAGCACCTTCAGAAAGATAGTACAACTAGATAGTTCAACTGGAAGCACCTTCAGAAGGATAGTACAACTTTCTTGGAGCTGTAGCAGCTATGGCAGAACAAGAGGAAACAATATGAATTGCTATCTATTTCAAGCTTTGATTTTCTGCTGTGCACATTGTAAAACAAAAGTAGTCCAGAAATTCAGATGCGATCGTATCCCCTGTTTGGTTTTCTTCTGTAAATTGTGCAGGTGACAATCAGGATGACAACTAATCCTGCAAGACTGAAGCTGACAACAGCTGGAATTAGTTTCTTGATTTTGTCAAGAGTGCACACTTCCTCTGCAGATGAAATTAGAATGTTACAGCATAGTAAATATTACATACTTTCACACTAGTTTTCTGCTCAGAAGAGTGCTGTTACTGAGAATTATCTAAAACCATTGCTTGAGGCTTTGTTTGTTTGTTTGTTTGTTTTGGTTGTGACTCCTACGCTGGCTGGGGATTCCTGAAAGTTGTATTCTAAAAAAATAACATTTCTAAGCTCTGTCCAAAGCTTGGAAAAGTAACACCTGAGGACCTGCCATTCTGGCTTGCATCATTCACCTTCCCTAATGTGTTTTTAAATTCTTTTTTGAAATGTAGTAGCTTTGTGTAGAAGCTTACAACTCCTTGTAACTTTATGCAAGGATTGAGCCTAAGATCCTGGAGAAACAAAGGACTCAATTTACCATCAAGCTATGACCCCTTTCAAATCAGAGCTAGAATCCTGTGGATCAGCTCATAGCTCAGTACACCACTAGGGGTGCTGTTCAGAATGAATTGCATTCAGTCTGAAAGCTAGAATAGAAACCTATGATTCTCCTGGTTTAGAAAATTAGGGGGAGCCAGAAACAGAGTTCAGAACTAAATAAATATAAAATAATTAGTTAATAATGGTTGTGTGCTGTTAATTCAATTCTAATTTGCAGCAATTTGTAATAGCTCTTTTTTTTTTCAACCACCATGATACAGTTTCATTGGTGGAATCGCTAGATTCCTTTTTTAGATTCCAAAGGCTGTATAGCTCAGAATTATATATTTGGCTCTTCAATCAGAGATTGAGAGTTCAATTCCCCACAGTGCCTGCTTTGGTATTTTACTGCTTCATTCCTAATTAGGGAGGATTACAGCTAGGGCTAAGGAAGGTTGGAGTTCAGCATCATCCAGAGGAACAAACATGTTTTAGTCCTGTTGTAGGGAAGTCCTAAATACAGGTAAAATAATGGTGCATTTACTAACCTTTCCCAAATTGATTGCCAGCTATATCAAAGGCTTGAAGTTGGGAATTGGCAACCAAGAGCTGCAAATTGTCCGACATGTCCATGGTTTGCTTGCTGGAGCATTTAAAGGAATTCCCCACTGGAGTGGAAAAGAGCTGGTCACTTTTCAATCCACTGTACAGTGAACCTGAAGCACACAAATAAATAGAAATGGAAAATGGTTTTACTGAGATATTTGCCCTTGGCTCAGGAGTGACCAGTGCAAATTAGGCACTGAGAAACTTCAGATGCACTCATATAAATCAAGCACTATTCCCGTTTGCCTCATGCCATCAGATCTGTTGTCTGAAACTAGAATAAAAATATTTTAGGCTAGAACACTCTCATCCTCAAGACCAGGTAATCCCAGGCCAGTTTCTACCAGGTGAACACTCAAACATCAAGAGAGTTTACCTGTGTGTTGGGTAGTCTTACACTTGGTTGTCTGACTATCTCTCTCTCTCTCTTTCTCTCACTCACCTCTCTTCAGGCTTAGGAGCTGGACTTTGCCAGCGCTCTGAATTGGGCTGCTACCAGCAAGATGTGATTTCTTCACAACCTACAATGTACCAATTCGGGATCTCTTCTCCTTCTCCTAGAAATGGCCTTCTCTCACCTCTCAGGAACTAAAGCAAGACGTGTCATATGTGTTGCCCCAGAGAGGGCCAGGAAAGAAATGTGAGAAAGAAGGACGTGACATTTGCAATCCGAAGAATATTAGGCTGGGTGAGGGAAAGCTAGTCTTGGGCAGAGCAGGTAAAGGAAGTATTGGAAACCTGAGGGAAGCCTTCTCTCTCTACCTATTCCTCACCCCAGTGATTATTTTCTTCAGAGCAAGCTGAGTTGCACACTTCAGTAGGGAGGGATTTTCATGGGGAGCTTTGTGAGAAGAATTTACTCCCCCACAGACAGTCCTAATCCTGATCACTCCCTTTCCAGAAGTTATTTATACACCAAAAAGCATTAAATACATGTCATGTCTAGTTTGATCCCGAATGTTTCACAATACAGTGTGCCTTAAACATTTAGTAAGAAGCAAAAACCAGCTGTGCTCAATACTACTTACAAGTATTCTCAGGTCAGTGACCATGAGGTTCCTGCCCATATCTGTTTCTTACCCTATTCTCTTGCCACCTTCCTTTTCCTTTTGCATTAAGTTTGTTAAATTAAATGCTTGCCAGCAAATACTCTTGTTTTTTGGTTTTTATGTGGGGCTTTAACAACAACAACAACAACAACAACAACTTTAAGTGCTCTGTCAAACAACAGGAACAATAAGTTATTTAATTGCTGATAAATGGATGAAAATATGGTATTTCTCTTCATTACTCTTAACAAAGAATATCATGTTAACTGCACAGAGACAAAAAATGAGGTACATGAAGTATAGGTGCTTGGTACATTTGTTCAAGATCAATTAACCTGAAATAAATCATACGTGATCCTAAGTTCATCCAGGTTTTGTTTTGTTCTGCTTTTTGGTTCTGATAAAATAAGTCTGGAAAGTGCAGTCCAGAAAAAGTTGGTGCAAATACACCAACTTTTAATATTAGAAGCTAGAATACTACCGTGTTTCCCCCGAAAATAAGACAGGGTCTTATATTAATTTTTGCACCCCAAAACACATTAGGGCTTATTTTCAGGGGATGTTTTAGTTTTATTTTTTTCATGTACAACAATCTACATTTATTCAAATACAGTTGTGTCTTCTTCTGGTTGCTGTACAATGGTGGAGGGTGGAGTTTCACTTAACTGGGGCTTACTTTTTGGGTAGGGCTTATATTATGAGCATCCTGAAAAATCATACTAGGGCATATTTTCAGGTTAGGTCTTATTTTCAAGGAAACAGGGGTAGCTGAAGTCCTGTTGCTTAGCACATCTGTCCAGACTGGCTGTTTTGAGTGTGGGGTGGATTGGGTTACAAAGAGTCTGTTATGTTCAGGGAGGGGGAAGAAGTGATTTCTCATTTGGCGCACCCTCCCATCCCAACAGCAAACAAACCGTTGTAGCCCAATTAACTGTCAGTTTAAGCATCTCTCCTGATCGTCTGCAGAGGGTCAAGGGAAGTGAAAGGTTTTTTTTAACATCCTTAAAATATTTTAAAAGAAACAAGTATTATATTAAAATGGTAAATAAAATGTGTATGGAAACACATTTAATGAATGAAACTTTTTCACACAACAAAGTGCTAAAGATACATGTCTAAACACCAGCTGTGAGTTTGGGTGACACTGTAACTCAGCACCCAGGTTCATTCAGAGCGCTTTCTAAGGCTTTCGCCGTGCCTGAGGCAAAGCTGGAACACATGTAATAACTGTTCAAAAAAATAAATAAATAACAATGGCACTTACCCTCAGATGGGACTTCCAAAGTGGCTTCAATCACACTGACATAATATACTTCTCCATCCTGAAAATAAGGATGGGTGAAATCTGAATTACCCAATATCATTAGGAGTTAGAAAACATGGTATTGTTGCATAAATGGATTTCAACCAACAGTGTATATAGGTAGTTAAAATGATTGTTTCCATAATTATACCAGTATCTACTAGAAATAATTAATTAAAATTAATTAAAAGCTTCCTATCTACTACCAGTTGTTTGAAAACCTCTGTCATAGCTATTTTTGGCTATTATAAGCCCCCACTCCTAAGGCTCTCAAAGACCTCCCTAGAGTGAAAGGGGGCCCTAAAGAGGTTTGGAACCTGAAATTGGGAAGGAGGAAGCTTTCAATCAATTCAAATTAATTATTTCCAGTACCTGGATCAGGTTCACACTGGCATAACTATACCAATAAGATTTTGTGCATTGTGTCTGATTCAATTAAAGAAGTACTGTATCAGCTTCTGGGTTTCTGTCAGGCAAAACTGCACATGGGTAGAATTTGTTAGGCAAATTCATGTTTCAAAGGGAAAGTCTGAACCTCAACAACTTTTCAGTCCTTATTTTAAAGAGATGGCTGGCAGGTTGTGCTATACCATTTGGTGTGTTGTCCATTGAGAATGAAAGGGTTTGCTAACTCTCAAAATTTGACCTTCCCATATTCACTGAAACCAATCCATGAGACTCTCAATTACACAACAGTTTTCAAGGAGCCCATTTCAGTTAAATAATTCTGCCCTCTTGTGAGTAAGAACAAACAGCCAAAGCAAATAAATGAAACTGAGTCTTTATTGAAAATTAGGGCACTGGGTGCATGTGGCACTTACAGAAGGAGGGTTAAGAATTCTTTCTCTACAATATGCTTTTGTACGGTGTGTACTTCCTCCTTAGTTTATTGAGAAAACGGCACAGACTTGTACAGTGCCTCCCACCCACACCTTGTTCTGTTCTGCTTCATCATCTCTGTGCTTCTGTTGTGAAAATGGCACATTTTCCTAAGTATGCAAAATGTAGCACTTTCTGTTTAATGCAAATAAAACTTCTCACGTATAGAAATTCACTGATTTATTACCCCACCCTTTCTCCAAAGACTTAAGAAGACAGCTAGTGTTCCCTAACTGTAAGCAACACTGGTTGCTTATTTTATGCTCATGCCAATCCTCACATTAGCCTAAAGAGACAGTGACTGGATGGAGGTCCCTCTTGGGGTCTGATCTTTACTGATTCAAACTTAGCCCTGACAGGTGCCATTGTAGAAAACTGGAAAAGTCAGCTTTCCTTCCTTCCTTCCTTCCTTCCTTCCTTCCTTCCTTCCTTCCTTGTTCTCTGCCTACCACTAACCACACCAGCAACTCTTCCATGTTCATAGCTGAATTTACTGTAAATCAACTGAACTTAGTGCGGCTTACTTTGAGTAACAGGCCCAGTGAAAGTTGAAAGCTGTTTTTGCAGGTAACTGGGCCCCTTAGACTTCAAGGCCTCAGAAAGAGTTTTATACAAACTGGAGCCAAAGCCAAATGTGAAGTCAACTTCTTTACTTTGATGAGAATTCTAAGATTCAACCATTATCAGCTATGATGGAAGGCTTACCTTGGTAAAAGAAAAGCGTATGAAGCCTCCTTCAAATGAGATTTTCAGAGTTGAAAGCCAAGGTCCACAGATTCCTACTGTATGTGTAGAGTTTGGATCAATATTATAATATTCTAAGTTCTGTGAAAAGGAAATGAAACCAGTAGGTGAGTTTCAGTGTAATCTGACACAATGATGGGAGCACGAAGGCATCTGTGTGCTTGGTATTTTACAAATGCTAGGTATGATAGGTGCCAGCCCACTGAATTTATAATCCAAAAGAGACACAACAGAAAAATTGGAAAACAGTGGCATGTATAAGCCAGCAAAAGAGATGCAATCAGTGACATGGACTTTATCCTAAATTGGTAGTCAGGCACTAACAAGGGTTAAGACAGTGGTCCCCAACCTTGGGCCTCCAAATGTTCTTGGACTTCAACTCCCAGAAATCCTGGCCAGCAGAGGTGGTGGTGAAAGCTTCTGGAAGTTGTAGTCCAAGAACATCTGGAGGCCCAAGGTTGAGGACCACTGGGTTAAGAGAGCAGACAAGATGTAGAGATGGGCATGAATGGCTGGTTTGGTGGTTCATCCCAGTTCATTTACCACTTCAACAAGTGTTTGGCGGTTCAGTGCTCTGCCCCCCCCCGGCAGGTACCCACTCAGAGGTAGCACCCAGAGGAGGTGGAGCAGGGAACCCGGGACACTGCCCCCGAGTGGGCGTCTGCCATAGAGGATGGGGCGCTGAACCACCAAATACTTGCTGTGGCAGTAAACGAGCTGGGCCAAACTGGCCATGAGATCTCACAATCGTTTGCTCATAGCCTTCTCCACATACCGATCTGTACCTTGATTTGCTGTTACATCTGATTAGCAGCCTATACCCGACACAAACCCTTGCATTGGTTCCCAAAGCAGCTTGGAAATCCTGAAATCAAAAGTTTTGGGATTGATCTTCATGGATTTTTTACTTCTTTTTTCTTAAGAGGAGGGTCAGAAGAAAGGGAGAAGAAAAAAAGAGAAGCAACTTACCCTTCTTTTGTTTTTAACAATCATTGTCAAGCCCATGACTGCTTTAACACAATCTGCTGTTCCATTGGAAACACTGTATGTCCCAAGCGCCGCTGGTGATGGTTTAGGTCCAAGGGTTGGACCAACAGGAGCAGTAGGCGGGGGACTAGTGCTCATGAGGATGGAGGTTCTGTTTTTGTGAGCTGTAATGCTTGTTCCTTTGCTCGCTGTTGTGGTGTGGTTACTGGTAGGTCTGGACAGGATGTTCTTCGCATTTCCTGTAGCATCTGCAGGGGTAAGTGCTGTAGTTTTCTGCCTGTCCGAGGATTCAGCCTTTGAAGTTGTCTTCCCAGTAACTAATACTGTTTTCATTTCTCTGTGAATCTCGCCCAATGGTTCAATTCCCCTGACTGTTTTGGCAGCCGCTGCAGCTTTAATTGCTGTATCTGCTGGTGCTTCACCAGTTTCATACATGGGATTTTTAATGATCACCTCAGAAGCAACTGTAGTTTTCTCCTGAGTGTGGCCTGCAGTTTCTTTGGTTGATGGTACTGATTCGGCTGTTATCATTTCAGCTTCTGGAACGGAAGGAGTTATTTGGCTTCCTGTTTGTTCAGTTCCCTCACCTAATGGCATGATTGAATCTTTGGCGTGACTGTGTGGAAGAGTGGCAAGGACGAGGTGGGAAGAAGGGGGGAAAGGAGAGAATTGCTGGGTGGCTGTACTTTGCCATCCGTTACCCGGGATTTCCACACTGCAGATTAAATTGGCTGCAAATAAGCAAAGAATATGTTAATCTTGTTCCCAATGAACCACTTCATCAAGACTGGATCAAGCTTGGACCCACCGAGTCCAATACTGTTTTTCCAGACGGAGCAGAACAATTGATGCCGCCATCTTGCAAGGCAAACTTGCCATCTTCATTTTGGGGCCACAGCTCCATGGCTGTAGCATCTGGCAGGGTGAGTGTGGAATTTTGCTGTCCCCACCCCATTTTGTAATGACCAACCTAATGAAGAGTGGTTGTTGTGGGTTGTCTGGGCTGTTTGGCCGTGTTCTGAAGGTTGTCCTTCCTAATGTTTTGCCAGACTCTGTGGCCAGCATCTTCAGAGGACAGGAGTCAGATCTCTGTCTGTGTTCTGCTGCAGTTTGATAGTTGAGTATTTATAGCTGTGGGATAAGCTTTTGTCCTTTTCAGGAGATTGGGTGATTATGGTGATCAGGATGTTTTTTTGTTGTGGGTGTACTGTTGTGATAAGGGGGAGAGATGATCTGTCACTGTGATTGATGGCATCTGAAGTTGCCGGCCACAGAGACAGGCAAAATGTTAGGAAGAGAAACCTTAAGAACACAGCCAAACAGCCCAGAAAACCCACAACAACCATTGGATCCTGGCCGTGAAAGCCTTCGAGAATACTAATGAAGAGTCCTGGAAGACTTGGAAACGTGTTGGGTTGTGTTTTTTTATGATATCTGAGTGATTCAGCAAAGCTCTCTCCCACTTTTGTTTTCAGATGTCTCAAGGAAGGCCACCAGTAGGAGATTAATCTAATAGGATCTTTCTTTGGCTGTTATCCCCCAGCAAGAGGTACCATCTTTAATACTGGAGGTAGCACGTAGCTGTTATGAGTAGTAACTACTTCATTTCGCTGACTAGTTTAAGTTACTGGCCGCCTCAACATCTCATAAAATCAAATTCCATAGTTTCACCATGCACTGTGTAAGCTAGGATAGGCAAAGTGTGATCTCAAGAGGTCTTAGCACTCTGACTCAAACAGTCATCAAATAAAAAAAAACTATTTTTACCTGAGAAAGATCTTTGCACCCTCTGTGGACATGGGAGTGATTTTGCCATTTTAGATAAAAGGATGGGCTGGGACTCAAGAGGCCTGTGTTCAAATCACCACGCAGCCGGAGAAGCTCACTGGGGTTGTGGAACTGGCAAAACCACTCCTTAAATATCTCACTTATCTTGAAAGGTGCTATTAGAATTGATATAAGTTGGTTTTAGTTTGATGGCACTTAACATCAATGGGGAGTGGGAAGCCAGGAGTATATTGGCCATTGGAGGGTACTGGAAACCTTTTTTCAATTAAAAAAAGAAAGAAAGAAGAACAGTGGACCCTCGACTTACAGACGGCTCGACTTACAGACTTTTCGAGTTACAGACTTCTCTGGCCGCAAAATTTAGATTTGACTTGCAGCCGGAGAATCGACCTACAGACCAGAAAAAAACCAAAATGGAACAAAAATAGAATAAAAACCTCTGGTTATGGGATTAATCGGTTTTCAATGCATTGTAGGTCAATGCATTGTATGGGAGATTCAACCTACAGACTTTTTGACTTGCAGCCACTGTTCCAATACGGATTAATTCCATAAGTAGAGGGTCCACTGTATTTTAGGAGTGGATATGACCGTTCAAAAATCCAGGTGTCCCACACCTGGAAATTGACCACCCCTGGTGTAGACATATTTCCATGTCAGATGCTATAGCTAAAAAGCTTCATACTTCTGGAGAATGATGTGTGAAAAGTGAGGAATTTTACACTTTTCTCATTGCTGTGTCATCAGCACAGACCTCTTAGGAGCCCTCAGTTTCATAAACCTAACTGAATTACTTCTCTGTTAAATGTCTGACCAACTGTTCACAGTGCCTAAGAGCCAGTCCAGACTGGCCGTTTTGGGTGTGAGGTGGATTGGGCTGCAAAGGGTCTGTTGAGATCAGGGCAGAAACAACATGCCATTTGGCATTTTCCTCTTGTCTGAACAGCAAACGATGGCTTGTAGCCTGATCAGCTGTCAGTTAAACACTTCCTCTGATCATCTAAAGAGGGTCAGAGGAAGTGAAAATTGGACCATTCTAAGTAGAAACTCTTGTGGACAAGGTCTTTTTTTTCTGATTCAAACCATGTCAGCAGCTATCCATATACCATATCTATATTCCAGTATGGACGGGCTGCAAGATGGGAGTAATTACACTACACACACATTGTGTTCCAATGGTAATGTTCCCTGTGGCCTCCCTAACAACAGAGAAAGATGTGGATCTACCGTATCCACAGGCTTACTTTCGAGAGATGCATGGAACTGTGGTGGTATGACAAGATGTGAGGGCTGAGTAGTTAATTCTCTACTTCCTCCCCTCACCCCTCATGTGGGGGACCACCTCATAAAAGGTAATGACAAGGCCAGCCCTGTGTTGTGGGCTGAATCTATTGAAGAATTTTGGTTATAATAGATGAATATGTGACAATGATAATAACAATGATGATAACAATGATACATAACTCCATTAACCATGTTGTTCCTTCTGGACAATCTCAGCTTATCACTCTCCCAAAGAGGTACACAGGACATTTGAACCCCTGACTCAAATGCTCCAACTCAAAGAGCTGTACCAGTTCATGATAAGCATGCCCTTAGCTTTACCATTGAAATAAGTGGCATTGACAAATGACTAACCTTAGATGGAGCAGGATTGCTTTTACATAATTATGTTACTGACAATATCACTCCGCTTTTATGAACGAAAGTTCTTAGTGACAACCTGAATAATTGGCATGAAATTGCCAATTAGTTCTTTTAAAAAACCCACCTGCACTAACATCCTCCAACTTAAAAATCCTAAACAATCTTCCCTTCCATGTTGCCATCATAACAATAGCTTGCCACTGATCCCAGGTATCAGCTCCTCTACAGTACCTTTCATTTCTTGAGATCCTTCCAGTATTAATAAAACTGAAAACCTTGCATTCATGGCTATTAATGTCATACCCATCTTGAAATGTGTCTTTGATGCAAAATAAAAAAAGTGGATCCTTACCTATAGCTTTCTGTCAGTCAAGCTGCCTAAAAACCAAAGTGTCTCTGAATGTCAGCACCTACAATTTATTCCTCCACATTTCTTAATTTTTTAAAAAATTTGGACACAATGTTGTGGATTGAAGACCACCACCCAAGATCTTCCCTCTTCTCACATTCTCCCCCCAAAGCCTTCTCAACACATCAAGCATTAGTGCCGGAGTGTTCTCAGTATAGCTCTTTTGCCCATGGAAGATTTAGGGACAGAGCGGAGCATGCAAACGTTACCTTTTAGGGATCAACTTCCAGAACCTAAGAAGTATGGTCCAAAGAAGGTAAGAATTCTGAGCCGGAGAGATAAAGAGTTAAGGCAGAGAAGCTTGTCCTTAAACCCCAGGAATAGGGAGTGTATATGAGTTGGGTTTTATCACCAGAGATGATAACACCGATCCTTGAAGAGAAGACTCTCTATCTTCTACAGTCATATAGCACAGGGTTTTTCAGCAGGTTTAACTTATGCCAGCTTATGCCTGCTGCATTTTGAGGAATCTTTTATAAACAGTTACGATGGCAGAAGGTCTAGAAAATGCCTCTATTGTTTGCCTGTGTCATTTTAGTGTAAACTGATGACAATACAGTGGACCCTTGACTTACACATGGCAGAAGGTCCAAAAAATGGCTCTATTGTTTGCCTGCGTCATTTTAGTGTAAACTGATGACAATATACAGAGATTATAGCAGATCTTTCTCTTTCACTCACCACTGGCTGTGATTAGAAGAAATTCCACCACAAGATTCTGCCTGGCCATAGTGAACTAAAAGACAAAAAAAAAATTAACAGCCAAGTGTCCAGAAGAAAGATGAAGGAAATTATCGTCACAAAAGTTGCTTCTTTTAAGATGTCGCTGGAAGCTTTGAAGCGTTCCTTCTTGCTGAGACTCACTCAGCAACTCCTCTGCAAGAGAAGTTTGATGTTCTCTAATACAGAGATCAGAGCAAATCTTTCTCTTTACTCACCACTGGTTGTGATTAGAAGAAATTCCACCACAAGATTCTGCCTGGCCATAGTGAACTAAAATACCAAAAAAAAAAAACCAAGTGTCCAGAAGAAAGATGAAGAAAATGATTGTCACAAAAGTTGTTTCTTTTAAGATGTCGCTGGAATCTTTGAAGTGTTCCTTCTTGCTGAGACTCACTCAGCAACTCCTCTGCAAGAGAGGTTTGATGTTCTCTTCTTAAGAGCTCTGGACAAAAGGGAAGTAGAGCTGAAGAACTGCCAGTTTTTGGGCTCTGGGGGCAGTGGCTCGTACATCACATGCAAACCAGTAAAGGGTGTGGGCATTTACTAATTAGATACCCTTGAACCATGTGAACGAGTGTTGAAATGTTGGTGGAACTGATATCAGAAGCCAAAATTCATATCTGTTCTCCAGTGCATGGAATTCTCTTTGGCCAGACTTAGGTTAGCAGTCCCAGGAACAGCAGAGCCATTAGATTGTCTGGATTTTAATAAGTACTGACGCCCTGTTCTATAATTGATTTAGCGGATGTGGACTTGTTAGGTCTAGCAAGACTTTTGGGTGGACATGCACTCAGAGCCCTGGCCACAAATGTCTTAGTGTTGTACAAGAAGAGATCCAAATGTTAACAGATTAGTCTGTGTTATCTGGATCCATCCTGCTGGGTTACGAAAGGCAGAAAAAAGGAGACATACTGTATGGGCATGACATGAATCACGAAGCCAAAACTCATAAGAGCATCAGAAAAGCCCTGCTGGATCAGGCCAAGGGCCCATCTAGTCCAGCTTCCTGTATCTCACAGTGGCCCCATAAGATGCCTCTGGGAGCACAGGAGACCACCAGATACATGTCTCCTGATCTCCCTCCCCTGCATCTGGCATTTGGAGGTCCCTTCCTTCTAAGCCTGGAGATTGTACATCCCCAATCCTGGCTTGTCACCTGCGATTGACTTTTCCTCCAGGAATTGGTCCAACCCACTTTTCAAGGCATCTAGGCTTGATGCCATCATCACATCCTGTGGCAAGGAGTTCCACAGACTAACAACATGCTGGGTAAATAAATCTTTTGACTGTTCTCCTTCTCCCAACACTCAATTTGACTGGATGTCCCCTGGTTCTGGTATTATGTGAGGGGGAAAAGAGCTTCCCGCCACAAATCAGGCCGTTTTGGGGGTGCTTCAGGGAAGGGCGCCTGCCCGGAATGAAACGAAGTGGGCAGTCCTACTACTCCCTGAAGTCCTGAATTGTACAAACCCTGGAACTGTTCATTTCTATTGGAAAGTTCACGAAAGGTCATGGTTCATGAATAGTAATGAATAGAGATGGGGGTATTCGTATACGAATATCCCTGCACAGTTGGATTTAATGAGGGTCCAGCCCTCATTAACCCCTGGGGCTGGACCGTCCACTCATGCGTCCGGGGCAGTGGCCCCCCTCATCCTTCTAATTGTTCCTGGAGCACCACTTTCTTCCTGCTCAGCTGGCCACTCAGCAGTCATGCAGGGAGACTCGTGGGCAGGAAGAGAGCAGTATTCTGGGAGTGATTGGAAGGATGAGATGAACTGCTGCTGGACAGATGAGTGGATGGTCTGGCCCCAGTGGTCGGACTTTCATTAAGTCCAGCTGTGCGGGGATTTTCGTATACAAATACCCCCATCTCTAATTATCTGTTATTAGTTAACCAGGAGACAAAAGTGGTCCTAGCTGGGCTATTTCTCTCATCACACACCTACCTGAAAAAGCAAATAAGCAAGGTTGTTTTTCATCTCAAAAAGAAGCTGATACTGGGCTTGGAATCCAGACCCAGCAAGAATAGTTAGAAATTCAGACATATCACAAGTACTTTTGTTCTGATGTTGGCTTGTCCCAAACTATGTTGGCCTTCTTACATGCCAGCAGAAGGATCCTAGGGTCTGTAGTCCAACATGGAAATGTTTCTAAGTGCTGTGTTAGGAGTCACCACGATGCATCGACGTCTTTCCCAAATATTTAATTTCTGGATTGATCGGGAAAAGGCCTGAAGATGCAACCACTCTAATGCAAGTGTGCGTGTACTAAAGAAGATCTAAAAATGTACGTTTGCCTAAAACAGGAAAACACAACAGAAAATAAGGACATTTGTAGCAGGTAACTCACTGTGAACAGGTTCCCCTTTGCTTCCACTTCTTTTAATAGGTACTGTTGTTCTTATTCTGCTGTCTCACCATGGCATGGAAATGACCCCTGGACTCTCACAGGTTGTGCCAGCAGGCTGCAAGATTGTTTGGTCTAGCCCAGTGGGTGGAGAAATCATAAGGACGACGCTGGACACTGTATTTGTAAAGTTTCTGTTTTAAGAGAGAGAATGGGGAGGAAGGGAAAGCATCAGTCCTTCCCATCTGGAGCAGGATTAGGCCCTCCCTTATGACTTTGATTTAGATAGCAGAGTGTCACTAGATGTGTGCGAGAAGGGTTGATATATAAAGGGAAATTCCTCATAAATGTACGGTGTGTTTCTCCTTGTTTTTCTATTTCACTCTGGGGCTTCAAGGTTTTAAGTTTTGGAACTTGACTTAGTACCTTAGATCATTGTACAAAAAAAGGCACTGAGGGTGTAATCAAATGGGTGTTTCGCCCACCATTTGGACTGTTGCGGGATGGGTTAGTTTGCTCTTTTTGACAGTGTTCAGAAGATGTAATTGCTGGAGGGAACCAAATAGTCCCCAAAGCTTCATTGATTGTTGCAACTACACCAGTTTTACTTCCCACCATATTTCTTGCACCATCAGTTGTGATGCTTTTCAATTTATCCCTACTCAGACCAAGATTTTCTATTGATTCACATACCTTCAAGAATATGTTTTCTTCAGTTGCAGAGCCTTTCAAGTATTGTATCTTTGCTACAGGATCTAAAATTGCAGATTCTTCCAGAGTTCCTTCTATTTGCATCACTTTTAGCCGAGCGGATCATATGCAAACACTGGTACAGTACTTTCTACTAAGCAGCTCAATGGCAGCCTCCCACTCTGGCATCCAAGGATAACCCTAACGAATTATGGAGAGGTCCACCACCAGCTTTGAATGGATCACAGCGCAGCAAACACCATAGCTTTCAACAGTGGTATGGAATTCAAAGGCTGTCCTACAGAGGACGGGCAGGATCTGTTCTCCATCATCCCAGAGTGCAGGACACGCAGCAATGACCTCAAGTTAAAGGAAGCCAGATTTCAGTTGGATATCAGGAAAAACGTCCTAACCGTTACACCAGTACGACAGTGAAATCAGTAACCTTGGGAGTTGGTGAGTGCTCCAATGCTGGAGGCATTCAAGAAAAACTCGGATAATCACCTGGCAGATATGCTTTGATTGTATTCCTGCGTTGAGCAGGGGTTTGGACTTGATGGCCTTGTAGGCCCCTTCAAACTTTACTTTTCTATGATTTCTATGGTTTTGGATTGGTGGAAAGACTACCTGCACTGATCACATCCCAGACCTTCAGGGTAAGGAAGGAATGTTTGTATAGTCAATATGTTTTCAGATTGGAATATTGTTTCTCTTTGGTTCCTTTCCCCCCACAAGAACTGGTGTCAACTCCAACAACTGGAACAGCTGGAAGATCTTTAAAAAAAAGGGGGGGGGATAACTTGCAATACAATTGCCTTGGCAAAATACCTAAGAGGATTCTTTGGTAGACCTTAACATAGAAATGCAAGAAGCACAGAATCCCTTTTGGTGTGCTGGGTGAAATCTGAATTCCGCAGTTATTCACCAATACGAAAAATGTGGATGTTATTTCTCATAAGGACCGTGTTGCCCTCTATTGGACAATCTTATATTACAGAATTTTATGGGAATCTACGGTATACTACAGAATTGTGATTTCTAGTCACATTTCTGCTACTTTGATATGTACAGTATTTCTACACTTTTGCAGCATGTTGCCTTTGGTCACATACAAGGAGTAGTAATGAGTTTTAAAGTTGTTTTGGAGTGTTGCCATATTGAAAATCTGGTTCGTAATGCTGTTCAGTTGAACCCTTCTTTCAACCCTTGCATGGACACAATGTGTGAATTCTGCTGAGTCCACCTTGAACTCTGTCATAGCTCTTAGAACACTATTGAAAGGTGGTTTTTAAAAGCCTTTCGTGGATGACATTATATTTTAATTCATATCATCAGTTCTGTATCAGTCTTTTATTGCCAAGCAGCTATTCTTCTAGGAATCATGTTTCCCGTCAAATTCAAGTACCAGATTCAAGGCAGACCTAAGAGTGAGAGAAAAATTAAGCTTGTCCACTCCTCACCCTGCAGTATTGAGTCTGCTAAGGGGTCCCCCAGCAGCAATTTACAAGTCAATAATCATATTAATTGCATTTATGCAGTTAATGTGACATCTAAGTTGGCCCTCTGTCTTTTGTGTAAAAATAACCTTCAAAGTACGCTGTAGTTTGATTTGTGCTCCTTAACAGTAATGATAATTATGATTATGATGATAGGTTTAAAAAAAATCCAACTTGCCAGCAATTTTGTAATACAGTATTTATAATTTTTTTTAAAAGGCGAAACAAAGGTTTGGTTTTACACAGTTCATAATGGTCTATTTACACAAAGTCCAGTTTTATACACACACACATATCTTGGAGTACATTCATACATTCAGTTCTGATACAAGAAAGGAGGAAAGAGAATAAAGTCATTCTCTGATTTGCCTTCTGTCTATCTTCCAGCAACCCCAAACTACAAATAACGTTACCCTCAATAGGGATAATGAATAAAAATTACACATCTCAGAAAAAGCAGCAGTTGCAGACGAAGGAATTTTAGCAGCAGTTTCAGGACAGTCTGTAGCTGCTGAAGGAAATACAAAAGGGAATGATTTAAATCTTCAGTCGGCTCGCAATATCTTTTTAATCTCAAATGCCTTTCACCATTCTTCAATATACCTTAAAACGTTCTATGGGTATGTATTTTAACGCCTCAGTCAGTACAAAATAAAACCCATACTTAGTGATAGGAGATGTAACAGGGCTGGGGGGAGAGCAGTTGCGTGTTAAGTAGAACTATTCTGTGAACTCACACATATGCAACTTGTGCCCATATGTATCAATGGTAGGGCCAAACCACACATTAAAGGAAATGTGCATTTCCTGGAATTGGAACATTCTCCCTCTAGGCATAGGTTTATTTAAAGCACAATCAGACATCCAAATGCAGCCTGTGTTTTACCTCTTGCCTATGTGTTTACCTCCTAAAACAAAGGCCAGCTAAAGAGCAAAATGTGAAGTAACTTGGTGCCAGATATTTTTTATTACTCTAGGGAGCACCTCATTTAATGACGTGCTAACCCTATCAGTTTGGCCAATAGGGACCACAGTAAAGAATGGCTGGTTGCTTACCTGTAAGCGTGGTTTTTTGAGTCGTCATTAGTAAACGTGCACTCGAGGGCATGTTTGTATATGTGACCACAAAGAAGAAACAGATTTTCTTGCCATGTTGTGATTGTAACTCTCTTCTCTTACATGATGGAACTAGTCAATAGAAATTTCAGACTTGAAGCTGGTTCTGTATGTATGTACTCTCGAGAAATCCTAGAAATTTCCAGCTCATGTAGAAGAACTTGCTACTGGGAGAGCTTTCTCTTTGCAACATGATTTTGGTTTCTTAGGAGGAGTGAATTGTTGGCTGCCAAAGGAGGCAGGAAGAGAAGCCTGGGCTCCTATCCAGACCGGAAGCTGGCAATGGAGGACAACCTGGTGGTTGCTTGTGAGTAGGGCAGCTGGTCAGGGGTGGTGGGGGAGGAAACATGTGGTGCCTGTGGCACCATATGGCAGCTGGCCACAGGTGGGGGGAAGGAAACATGTGGTGCCTGTGGCACCATATGTATGGATTTGGATAAAGCACTGCAAAGCATTTTGTGGCCATTTTGAGTATCATCCACAGGTGGGGGGAAGGAAACATGTGGTGCCTGTGGCACCATATGTCCGGAAAAACTTAAAGCACTACGAAGCATTTTGTGGCCATTTTGAGTATCATCCCATTGTAGGGCTACATGAATGAAGGATAACCTATAGTATAGCCTTCATGCCTTTGAAATGGACCCTGCATGTCCATGGCTAAAGACACAGGCAGCTCACAACTAGGGCAAGGAATGGGGGCACCCCATCTTTCAGGTCCGCAACCTGCTCCTTTGTAAAGGTTTCCCTGAATGTACAAAACTTGAAAACAACCCCTTTAAGAAAGCCGGTCAAACAACCACTCTACAGAGTTGCTTTTTCCAAAAAGAGGATAATTATATATACGTATTACCTCGGGGCTAGGCAGAAGGTAGAATGACAGGGGCTGGCAAGTCTCTGTGTGTTTGCAATAGATCTTCAAAGGCTCATCACGGCTGATAATCTAACAATAGCAACAACCCAAAAGTCTCTTTCCACCCCCTCAACAAACATTTTGTGGCTGCAAAACTACACATTAAGGAAATTGGGGTAAATTTCGTGGACTCATGAGCTTGGTTGAGATACCAATGACAAATCATGGGCTAAGAAGGTGACCAGAAGTTCCTTATTTCTTAGCAAATTTTCCCATGGCTAAACCATTACTTTATACCCTCTTGTTTAGGCATGCAAGCCTCTAGCCAAAAAGCAGCTACTACCATCCTACACTCTGCCCCCATACGTCGGTTTAAAGCTAAAAATCATATATATATATTTTAATACAAATTAATTTATATGAGAATTCCCACTGGGCAAACACTTATTTTTTATTATATATCTTTAAAACAGGAATGGTACCACAAGATTAAGATCATCCATCTTCCCTGCTTTGTAAAGGCCAGCCTTGTCCTGGGAAGCGGGGAAGCTATGTGTTCCTCCCTCCCACAACAAAACTGCTTGTAAAATAATAAAGCTTTGTATACAGGGTTACCTTGCGCTGAGTTTTTATTCTAAATATGGATGATTATTTATTCGGATCTTATGTTTCTGTGTTCAGGACTGGCTCAAGGCCTTTTGATGCCTGAGGTGGTGTAGCAAAGGGCACTCTACCCCACTTCAAGCCAAGGTGCATAACAATCAAGTGACTTTTTGGCACATAGTCTCACAAAAGAACTCTTCCCATTCTCAGCACTAAGGATACAAGACATTAAATAACAAACAATGTGATGGTTTTGAGACAACTCAAATCTCCTCCTTGACGTAACAATGCCTACTAGCAGGGTGGTTCTATTTGTGGCTCTCTCCTTTTTTTGCCATGCTGGCAAAACTTCAACACATAACAATATATACTAGCAGGGCGGTTCTATTTGTTGGTTTTTGTTGTTGTTGTTGTTGTTGTTTTTTGCCATGCTGGCAAAACTTCAACACATGTAGGAAATTACTTAGGACTTGTTTTTTTAAATTACTAATTTTCTGGAATGTGGCAATCCTTCATTTTTATAATAGTGTTTTAAAAATCTGCCAGAACGTTTTAATTCAGCTCCTGATCCAGCTGAAACTATTTATACAATGAATTCCATGCAACCTGCAGCACATCAAAAGATGCGTACCTCCTGTTCAAGCAGACTGAGATGACGTGAATAGCACCAGGAAAAAAAAATCCCCTAGCTACTACACAAAAAACTCCCATGTTTAGCCAGAAGCAGGGAGATCCTTTTTTTTCCATTTAACACATCTCAATATTCGTCCTGATAGTCACATAAAGTTTGTGTAACTTGCCATGGCTAATTGCAGCTCATTGAAACACTGACAGGGCACACATCAGTTGTGCAACTTTGCATATGACCAATTATGCAACCAAGACATGCCCTGACATGGTGTCTATTAGCTGTAATTAGCTGCAGAAATTTAGTCAAATCTTATGTTAACACCGATAGGATTCTGGCCATTGTCTTCTGGAACATTGCAAAAGGATTTTAGACTTATTTTGAAAATGACCCCATATTCTTTGTTTCTCTTTCATATAAACACACACCCAAAGAGGCTATGGAAGTGATTCGTTTCGTTTCGTTTAGTCGTTTAGTCCCTCTTTCATATAAACACACACCCAAATAGGCTATGGAAGTGATTAAGAGTAATAAATTACGATTGTTAGACAGAAACATTTGTCTGCACAGTTAGTTTGACTGTATCTGGGGAATCCCATAGCAAATGAACTGGTTGAAATCAAGAACAATGGAGCAAGAAATAGCACCATTAAATTGTTTGGAGACCCCCTTGAAATCTTCCTAATGTAGCTAGATTTGTATGAATCTATTAAACTTCCTAAGAGAGTCAAACCTGTCTATAATTCTGTTCTCAACACAGATCTCCTACATAGGGAAAAGGAAGCAACATGGGATTATATAGGATTTAAGGTAAGTTTTAAAAAAAGAATTAGTCAAGATAGCAAACTTGCACACATTTGGCCCATAGCAAGAGGGCTCAGGAATATTGAACTGCTGCAGTTATGAGAAATGAACAATGTAATATGGCTTCATAGAGCACTGCAAAAAGTATGCAAAGACCATCATTTGCTGGCAGTTTGAAAATCTCTCTCTGCTTCAATAAAAAATCAAGTTTCTCATGTCCAGGTTCCTTGTATTCCAGTCTACGAACAAAGGACCAGAAACTAGGAAGACACTTCAGTGAAGTTTCCAATAATTTGAAGGTACGATACGTTGCGAAAACCCCTTCCACAGGATTAACCACAATGTTAGCTGAGCATCAATTGATTAAATGTGGTCGTTTGCCTAAATGTGTGAAATGAGCCATTCTTTGGCTCAGGTTCACCCCCAATGGCTAGGATAGCTCAGTGGTTTAGGTATCTGGCGTGCCATTCTTTGGCTCAGGTTCACCCCCGATGGCTAGGATAACTGCTGGATAGCTCAGTGGTTAGGTATCTGGCTACAGAACGAGAGTTTGGGAGTTTGATTCCCTACTGTGCCTCCTTGACAGGGGCTGTACTTGATCCATAGGGTCCCTTCCAGATTGGCAGTTATGATGATGAACTATTCTAAGATGAAGTGGAAGCATGCATATACCCATCTACCTGCAGCTGTTGCTACTTTGGCCCTTGAAAACGGGACAGTTGCAACGACAGCAGCTGCAAATCTCAGTATAATCTGCATTTTCAGCCTACTGTTTCCATGAAAATGTGAACATGCGTCCATTGAACACCTGTAGAGAATGTCATGCTGGTGCTGTATGTGTGGCCCTGCTATCCGAGGGTCTGAGGAATACCTTTGTAGAAGTGCACGATGTAGCTACTAGACTCAGAAGGCTGTGGATTTAGATTTTTTTTTCTCCCGGCTAGCTGTGGAAGAATCATGGGTCAAAATCTTTTGGGGAATTTTAACATGCACAACGACAGGAGTGCAAACAGCTGAACACCTCACCCAATAGTACACCCACTTGTGTAACTTTACTCGCATCTGTGGAAAACCTTAACAAGGTACTAGCTCTTGTCTCCTGGAGCTGAAGCATACGATCAGCATTTTTGGCTGACGTGTTGGAATTTAGACTACTTTTCTTCTCCTCTTTAATTCTATATTGGTGGGGGATTCAGCAACAGACAATAGGAATGTGTTAGCCATGTAGTTCAGCTCTTAGTTTAATTTTTCCCTTTATAAAACAGAATGAAGTATGGACTTCTTCACAAGAAAAATGGACTGTTACCGACTCTGCCTACTATATCCATTTTATAAATATTTATTATGCATAAATATCGGTAAAAGACTAGAAAATTCAAATTAGAATTGTCATATTGACTGGTTTTCTGGGGAAATGGCCAATGATTGGAGCCATAGCAGTGTCAGGTAAATCAGCATTTTTGCAAAGTTCTCTTGATATCACATTTCAATGAATTCTCAGTTGTGGCCAGAATGTGGCCAGGCTTAGCCCAGCTGTCCAGTAACCCAAGCAGTTGACGGGTATGGCCAACCAGGTAGCATACGCTCTAAGCATACAATCCCAAGAACCCTTGAACTACTGAAGAGTCTGGGTGGCAGCTTTCAGATTGTATAGGACATCTCTGTGGAGCCAGCAAGATGCCAAAAAGTGGCAGCAGAGTTGCATTACATGTATTCCTCGTCATTTAACACCCTTACATACAGCACTCGTTAAGTAGCCCTATTCATAGATCAATTTTCCCCCCAAACATTACACTACTAGCAGCTTTATGGGATCTTTCTTTCCCGTTTACCATCACAAAGTCATCATGCAGAATACCTTTATATATTTCACCCCTCCATTGCCAGGGAACTTACAAGTGCCTCCTATTCTGCAAACCTGTCGTTATACAGATAAAGTCTTTCTTAAAATATGGCAGCATGGCACTAAACGAATATGACCTTATTACATCCTTCTCAGCAATAAATCCATTTGGAAGTACCTAAACATATTGCAGGCATTATACAGGGAGACATTAAATACTGAACTGGGGGAGCAGGGAGCAGAGAGATGCTGCATCTGGTTCTAGACCCAGCATATGGTGATGCCCCAGCACGCATTCAGCTCAAATGAAAAATGCCAACTGGCAGCATCAGACAGAATTGTCAGCACCAAATGCAAAGGAATTGGTCCCCTCAGTTATATACGAGGAGGGAGGCACCATCTTGAACCTGAAAACATACCCCAGAACTGGGTAGCCGTGGGGCAGTTTTCCCCTACATCATCTATACTTAAAAGACGCCCATCTGTCCAATGGCCCCAATACACCCTACAGAAAGAAGATCAAAACTATGTCACTCCCTTCCCTGTTGTACAAAGGCAACGTGGTTGGCTCAGGTTCAGCAACTGCATCTTCTTGACCATCACCCAACCTACTTCTGTTGGTCTCACTGTTTGTGATTGTCCTGAGATAATCAATGGATCTGGCCATGGAAAACAAGGAGAGACTAAGCAGCAGGTCAAATAGATGAAAAAAATCTGAGGTGGTTTCTGCCATAGAATATTATCAGGGGGATCCAGAGTTCTGTCTTGAAATAAATCCAGCATTCACTGAACATGGTCACAAGTTTGAGGGCATAGTAACCTTTCACTGCCTTTAGCCTAATTTAGGCAAGATCCTTTTCAATTATTTTTTAAAAAATGCAGTGTACAAAAGGATACTGTCGATGCATTTGCCAAATACTAGGACAGCTTTCAAGTTTAAATTATCCTCCCACTTTCCTAACTTTTCAAGTAGTGTGGGCTCTGCTGTTGTTTTTAAACTGTTGTTGTGGTTAAATGCCGTTGATTTTCACCAATTTCTGAAGTTCAAAGCTTATGGGAAAGGCGATTTTGGTCCAACATCCACCAGTAAACAGAGAAGGAAATTGAGTCCTGAGGGGGTGTTCAGCTCCCAGCTTTCTGTTCAGCTGTTAGGTTTCTAGCCAGTTCACTCGCCTTGATTTCAGAGTTTGTGGAGGCAGTCCCGTAGGTCCCATGGTACATGTCTGAAAGAAGAACGCAGCTGTATCAGTAACGAGGGACTTACTGGTGCAGAGATATCAGGAAATGCCTGGGCATGAATACATTCCACAAAACCATTTGCCACCCATCAAATGATGACATATTTATTACATTTTTATGCTGCTCGGGGTGGGGGAACCAAGGTGGGTCTAAATTTGTAGTAGATTCTCCTAGAGGTGACTCATGGTCTCGGGGTTCAGAATACTGCTTCACTCCACAATTGGGGATTAAGTTGCCCTCCTCTCTTTGAGGGCATCTGACTAGGAACTCTGAATTTTTTTACATTGAACAAATACCACAATCTAATTTGTTCAATGGGGGAAGAAAAAAGGACTCATAAAACATGGATCAAGATACAGTGAATAGGAACGAACGAAATCACCCTTGGCTGGTAGCTCCAGAAAGCTCCTAGATGTGTCCAAAGCTGTGGCAAAAAGGGACTGAAGAGCATTAGAGGGGTGAACAGGCAACATGGGACAGGAGGGCTTCTAATGATCTCTTGATCTTTCAGCTCTAGAAGGTTCCAAAGACTGCGCATGCACAGAAGCAAACTCATAGTGTGCATTCACGGAGACCATGTAGAAGAATGGTTATTTCCCTTCATTACTGCAGCAGTACTGCAGTTTTGGAACGCTCTCTACTTAGAGGCCTCATTTGAACGGTGGCTTCATCTAAATGCCAAACGAAGCTACCCATTCAGAAGCACTTGGGGCCCAGTGAGTTGAATTACAAGTTTTACTTTCATATTTGTTAACTTGCACAAATTATTCCAAATGGTTTCGAAGTCATTTCCTTGATTGTACCCCATCCAAAGACTTTAAGATGTAGAATAGGAAAGAAATCTTTTAATTAATTAAACACATAAAGTATTTGTTTTAAAAAGCCTTTACAGAAGGAACCTCTATGTTTTACAGTCTGGAAGGCAGGAGTCTGACATATCCCATTTAAATTTAACTGGGTGGGGGGAAGTCCGATGAAGTGGGCTTGTCCATGAAAGTTCATATTAAAAAAAAATTAAAAGTTAGTCTTTAAGCTGCCACCATGTTTTTCTCTTTTAAACTTTTTTTTAATTTTGTTTTTATAAAAAAAAAAAGCATACTAGTTTGGAACTGGATAAACCCCAATAAGCCGTGAAATTCACAGGGATGAGATGGGGAGAGCCACAGGATTGCTATAAACATAAAAGGAATGGAAGGGGAACCATGTATGTTGCCATGGATTCCCTGGAGGAAAGATGGGTAAATAAATGTAACTAAGCTTGTCCCAGCTCCTGCCAACCTAGCAGTTCGAAAGCATGTAAATGTAAGTAGATGAATAGGTACCACCTCAGTGGGAAGGTCACAGCGTTCCGTATGTAGTTGCGGTGGCCACGTGACGATGGAAATAGTCTATGGACAAATGCTGGCTCTATGGCTTGGAAACGGGCACAACTGGACTAAATGTCAAGGGGAACCTTTACCTAAGTAAGACATAAGAGGCAGCTGGGAGTAGAAATGAAGGCTGAATGAGAGCCAGTGGGGGTAGTGGTTAGAAGGATGAACTGCAACCTTAGGAGTTTCAGTACCAAGTCCCCTCTGAGTTGTAAAAGAAGAGCGAATAATATCGCTTGTGTCGACTGACACTGTTCCGGGACTACCAGGCTGCACCCTCTCTATGTTGACTGTATCTTTCTAAATGAATTGAAATGATAAACCCTTCACATGATCTGAATTATTTTTCTTCTTCTTCTTCTTCACAAAGAAGGTGAATTCATGAGGGTGATGCGGAATTTCCTGCAGTTCAGGAACAGAGTAAAAGTGTTGAAAGAATAGGTCGAAATGGGGACAATGTTGTTACCGGCATAGCTGATTCTGTAGATGGTGTTGGTATCCCCCTCTGCTGGCTGTAGCAGGCTGGAAGGGACCCAATCCGTTTTCTCAGAAACCAGCTTCTTCACTAACCTGAAGTTTCAAAGGAAATGTAATTAATGGCCTCGTCCTCATTTATGCCGCTGGTCCTGGGACCATCAAGGAAATCTAGCATTTCTGGTGTACAGAGAATTGCATGATATATGAAAAGTTTCTCTTTATTTAGCTTTGATTTGATTTGTATACTGCCCCATTAGTGCAAAGCACTATTCAGCCTATGCTATGTCATTTCCTGTTGCAACAATGCTTGTTTTTATATACAGGAGCAGCAAGGTGAGACCACACACATTTCATGAAACCACTGCTCCATCCTTATTCCCATCAAGTTGCTTGGAAGGATGAGGGCTTTTTATTTATTTACTTATTTATTTATTGCAATGTTACATGTACGTAGTTTGAAGTTTTCCTGTCTCCTGCTTTGTCGAACTACCCCTATACTGCAGGTAATGAAAAATGAAGAACAGCAACAGCCTTGTAATTAATAATAATAATAATTGCATGCCATTTAGTTGATTTTGACTTACGGTGACCCTTTTCAGGGTTTTCTAGGTAGAGAATACTTAGAAGTGGTTTCTCCTTCCCTTCTTCAGGGGTGCCCTGGGACTGTGCAGCTGGCCCAAGGCTCCACAGACTGGCTCCATGGACAGGAGGCAAAGTGAGGAATCAAAGTCCCAAGGTCTGACTCTGCACCCGGATACTTAAACCACTGAGCTATCTAGCCAGCTGCCTCTTAATTAACATTCTCAATTAAACACATAGGAAATAGTCCACTTTTTTTGTTTCTAGTAATACGTATTTGTTATTGCAAATAACTGTTTGAACAAACTGCCGGGCTGAAACTAGTGCTGGATTCTCCTCCGGGGTTGGGGGGAGAGCAGCGATGATGGGGACTTAGATATGCAAGAAAAATGAGGAAAAGCACAAGGGTAATACTGCAGAGCAGGACACACTTATCCTTCATAGATAAGGTGCCACTGGCATGAGGATGAGGAACATGATATACAGCAGTGACTTGGATTTGGGTTATGCCAATTTTGAATGGGACGCAGAATGGATCATTGATTCAAACCTTTAACAACATACAGCATCTGGAAACTATTTGTATCTGCATTGAGACAACAGCCTGCCTGCTTTTGCGAAGAAGCTTCCTGAACAGGAAATGCCAGTGTGCCTAGGACAAGGGGATAAAGGGGCTGGTTTTGCTCCCCCCTTTTCCAGCTGTTCTTCATTCAAACACAGCAGTCCCAGTAAGGCTGCAACCACACTGGCAAATATTACCGGATTTGCTGCAGAAGCAGAACGGATGGATTCATACTTTTAAAAACTGAACACAGGATGCAAAGACCAATGTGAATTAGCCTGGCCCTTTTTTAGCTTCTGGTGCAGAGTTTTCCCCCTTGTCATCAGGGGTCTTTATTAAAAAACAAGAGCAACAACAACAACAAAACAAATCTGGAGTGATTTGAACAATATTTTCCCTGTGGGATCAATTGTTTAATTCTCCAAAAGGGTGAGGGGAAAGCATGATTGTAGGTGGTATACTGGCAATGTACTAATCTGGGCTTGATCTTTTAAAGTGAGATCACCCACCTCCATGATCTTTCTCCCTAATTTTTTTTTATTTAAACAACTGCTAAGTTTAGTGCTAGATTGCCTGATCACCACATCGCTATATTAGTTTAGCACTAGATCACCTTTCCATGGACAAAAAAAATATATACTCATCAATATGAAATAGAAACAACTGCAACAAACTACAACAGACTATTATGTTTCCGAGTCATGGGTATATGTGTTTGTATTTATGGAGAATGTGTGGAAAATTGTCCCCTTTTCCCTAATGCAGTTCAACGCTTTAAACAGCCCATCAGCTTTACGATGAACCACAAAAGGAGAGCCAGGAATTGGAAGAAGGTGGGAGCAAAGAAAGGGAGTGTTGCCACCAAAACAACCCACAATTTAAAATTAAAATTATTGCCTCTTTAATTGTGTCCCGGTCTCTGTGTTGTTCTTACTAGCTGCTATACTTACCATTGTCCATCTTCGCCTTCCTGTATAAACTGCACTAAATCTCCATCCTCTAGAGTAAGGGAATCTGGGAAACAGGTGTCAAAATTGCCTTCTACCCGGTAAAGACTGGATCCCTAAAATGAATGAAACAAAGCCGCACATGCGGTTATTGTGGAAAGGAAGGACATGAACACAGCCAGGGGTAGGAAGAAGAAGGCACCCCATCACTGTGCTTCAGACAAATAAAATAATAAACACATCTGGAAAAGCAACACTTTTTGTGCGCTGTTCCAATATTTAACTTTCCTGATTTCCTGTGTTCTAGGAAATTTCAAAAAAAGATGTGGAATTTAGTAATAAAGTAAAAGGCTGAGCTTTCAGTGTTTTTTTTTTTCAAAGCAAGTCTATGTAACCCCCCCCCCAAAAAAAGTTTATCACCTACATACTTTCAGGCTGCTATCCTATTTCCTGTAATCTAAGAATAAGCCCCACACCACGGTTGGATTTACTTTTAAGTAATCGTGGACAGAATTACACTGCACACCTTATCTTCGTTGACTTCTGTATTTATTTTCTAAAAATCCTAAATTGTTTCTCCAAAAGCCAGTGAACCTCACCACATAGAATTCATGTTGGTGGATGAAAAGGTTCTCATCTGGCGGCAGCGCTGTGAGGCTAAACCCTCAAAAGAAGGTAATCCAAAGGGATGGTGTATGCCATACCAGAGATGGCCTCGCTTGACCACATCCCTCTCCGATGGAAACAAGGTAGAGGGTCTACTGAGTGAGGCACACACCCCATACCCCGAAAGTGGCCCATGAGCTGCCTTTGACTGTGAGTAATAGTAGGGTCAGCCCTGGAGGAATGCAAAGGAAGGCTTCTCTAGAAGCTGTTAAGGAGAAAGATGCCACATATGACACACAGTACAGTATGAACACCTTAAGGCAGTGGCCCCCAACCTTGGGCCTCCAGATGCTCCTGAACTACAACTCCCAGAAGCCTTCACCACCACCTCTGCAGGCCAGAATTTCTGGGAGCTGAAATCCAAGAACATCTGGAGGCCCAAGGCTGGGGACCACTGCCCTAAGGTGTGTAGGCTTTAGGTTAGAAAATATGTGTTTGCTTTTAAAGAGAGCCTATTAGGACTTTAGTGTGCTGGTTTTATCACATTTATCACCTAAGGTATGCAGGCTGTAGGTTAGAAAACGTGTTTGCTTTTAAAGAGAGCATAATTGGACCTTATTGTGCTGATTTTATCATCTTTTAAATTAACGTCTCGCTTTGCATCATGTATTTATTGTTATCCCATTAGTAGCTCTGATTCTCTGACATGAAGCAAGAATTAACTAAACAGAGACTGTAGTTTACCTCTCTACATGCCATCTAATCTGTAACTTTAGTAAAGATTCAAGAAAATAACATACAGTCTCATCTCTTAATTTAGCTGGAAGGTTAGATAACCAATGGAACACTATGATTTTAAATCTTCTTGTATTTTGGGAAAATGCAAAGTCAAATTATTTAAAGCAGTTCACTCCTAGCCCAAGATATGTTTACGATGATGGGAAAAATAGCAATGCAAAGCTTTGAATGATGCTACATACGTTGTTAGGTTGGCTTTCCTCCTCCATATCTGAAGAATTAGAAAGTTCCTCAGCACTGGATGGGATCGCTTCAAAATCTTCAAATGTATCTAGAGAAGGCATCTGCCGGGTGGGCCATCCTTAGAAAAAAAGAAAACAGAATGTCTGGCATTAAATTGTGCTTTACAAGGGAGGTCCCACAACAGAATGTTGTAATATGCAGTGCTTATGTTCAAGGTTCAAATCACTCCGTATCATCATCTCCTCCTTTCATCTCCCAGCCTGCCTGTCATCCAGACAATTTCCACAAGGGGGAGCTGAATTTGTCCGTCGCACAAAAATCACAGAGAACCATGTGGCGTCGTTCTAAGACCGAGGGTTTTGTTGTAGCCATAGCGTTTGTGGCCTGTCTATCTAGGAAAGCTCATTTTATAACTTTGGTTCATCTTAAAGCTGACACACCGCTCTTGTTACTATCCAGAGAATTTGTCAATCTGCCTGCTATTTTCTTTGCTTCTCGTCTCCATCTATCGTTTCATCTGGTGGTTGAGTTGGTGTGCCTTCTCTCCCTCAAAATTCCCCTCTGAGGGAAGCCAAGTCAGGGGAGAATAGCAGCCATGCTGGGACCTGAGCATACAATCAGAGACAGTCACTGGGAGAAGAGCAGCCACGCTGGGACCTGAGCATACAATCAGAGACAGTCCAAGACCTATGTGGAAAGGCGAAGAGGACACAATTGTACCCTTGGTTGAGGCAAAGGGCAAAATGGTGCCCACTCCTTTTTTTTGTGTGTGTACAGAGACCAGCTGTACTGATAGTTAATATCACTTCAGCGCTATTCATGATAGTTAATCTCACTTCAGTGCTATACTGTTCAATCCCTTCCTAAAGCAACGAGCTAGTTTAAGGGGCCAGGACAGACTGTATGGGGCAAACAGCTCTGCCCTGAAGTTCCAGGGGGAAGTGCAGGATGAACAAATCGGATCCTGCAACCCCTCCTGTCTGCTTACGGTGGGAGGCAATGCAAGATTTACCCTTATCCACACTGTGGCTCCAGTTGGCGTTTCTGAAGGAGCCGCGCCAGCCAGCATACTAGGAAATGTCCAGTTAAAATCCCAGCCCATCCTGGCAAATGTAGACCAAGACGTAGCCTACAGTCACAAAGCACAGTAAACATGTAGAAGCCAAGCAGAGCTGGGGCTGGTCCATAAATACCTGGACGGAGCACCACCTAGGAAGCAGGACTGGTCCAAGCTCATCTGCTATCTGTGACAGGAAGCAAAGTAAACACAACCCATCACACAGAACGGCTGACCCACCTCTTTGGCTCCAACAGGGGTTATTTTCTTTTGCTCAAACCACAGTTTCCCCTTAAATTCACTCAGGGCAGCATTCCCTCCCTTTCTCCAGAGCAGAAAGCTCATTCATACCAATGCCTTCCCCTCAGAGCCAAGCATTCAAGGAAAGAGAGAGGGAGGGAGAAACCACCAGCCTGTGGTGTTGCTGCCGCCTCCTCCTCCACCACCAGTTCTGGCACTGGTGTCAGAATAGGTGAAAAGAAGCTTATGCTCTCTCCAAAGGAGATTTGAAAAAGCAAGTTTTCCAAGCTCATTTTTGCTATAATCAAAAAATATACTTCTGCTTTTGGTCATTTTGGTCACATGAAATGGGTTCTCCAACTTGGCATTCAAACTGTGCTTTTGGGCTAGTGTTTGTTTTGGGCATATTTATTTCTTTATTTAAAATATTTTCACTCCGCTCTGCTCCTTAGAAGCACCCATTTCATACCCTCTCGCATCTAATACAGAGTCTCTTATGTAGGGGAAAAAAGATCTATATAAACAGACAGATCGGCATGCATACCATGACAAGAGTAACCAAAGACTGCAATGATCCTGCCCATACTGCCCAGGTAAGGCTTTGAACAGTGTATGCATCACACAAGTACAATGTTCTAATTCTTATTTACCTGTCTGTGAAGCAGATCTAGGTACCGATCTTGTAGGCGGAATAACAGCGCTGCATTTAGCTTGAGCCAAGATGTTTCTTGCAAAGGCATCTGTGACAGGAAGCAGGGTTTTGTGGTGTATGTGCTAATTCAGACCCATCTCAAAGTTGGCAAGCTCAGCATGCAACCCCCTCCAGGAGAATTTCCTTGCCAACACCATGCTTAGTTGGCCAGATTTGTTTTCCAATGCCACAAGACTGTCTTCTTGTAATACTGATTAATCAACCTAAAATCAGAACTAGCTTTTCCACTGAGGCAGACGGAGGGTGAGGAGAGATCTAACCTATGAATTTTCCTTTGCCAAGCAGCTTACCTCTTTGTTTACATGGTTTTAAATTGGGATTTATATATTGCTAGAAATGTTCATTCTTCATTTTAAACAATCACAAGTTTTTAAAAAGCTTGTATAAGAATACTGACTAGGGTGTTGATGATGGAATTTGTGGAGTTGGTATGTGTAAGAGACAAGTTAGTGATGATTCAGAAGGAAGATTTGGTGTGTGATTGAAAGATACTGGACGAGAAAAATGTTCCTGCCTTTTTACAGCATACAGTTCATGTGCATCATTGAGTGTATCTTATTTGGGAAAATGCACGGGATGGAATAAATCAACTTTACAGTTGGCAGAATGAGAAATAATTGGCTTGCCTTTTTGTGAAACAAGTACTAGTTTTGTGTCTTGTATGAGACCTCACCTTTCTTTTCTACTCAGGCTTTTAGGCAAGTTGTCATTTAACCTGAATAGTTTGCCTATCAGAGAAAGAGGTGTTTTATGACTGACCACATCTGTCATGGTAGCCATTTTGTGAATGGGCAACATCCACATGGAAGCCATTTTGTGAATTTACCCATGACACCTTCTCAGAAATCAGAATGTGGCCCATCAGAAACACTGGGGAGCCCTGCTGTAAGATATCCCAATGTGTACGCCTGCATGTGAAGTTTGCACGAGGAGACAGCTCAGCTGAAAGCCAAAGGAGCTCAGCACCTTGTCCCCTGAATGGGACAAGAATATATTTATTTATTTATTTAAATTTATCTAAAATATTTTTACCCTGCCTTTCTCCTTAAAAGGACCCAGCCTTAAGCCAGCTCAGCATGAATTCATTATCCATCCACGTGGAATCAACACCTTGTTTTTCCCGTAAGGAAAAAACTGAAAGAAGAAGACATTGCATATTGCCACTTTTTAACTCTTCCAGCATAAAAAGGAGAGCTAGAATGTGTGACATGGTAATTCATCAGCAGTACAAGTTGCAGCCAAGGCATAACAGTGGGACTGTTAGTGCAATCCTACAGAAGTCCACTCAGAAACAAATCCTTTTGAATTAAATGGAACATACGTACTCTCAAATCAGGGTGCAATTAGATGGGGTTTTGTCTTATGGTTTGGTCCACTTTGGGGACAGGCTGGTTTAGCCATTTTTGCGACAACAACATGATGTAGGAATAAAATGCAAACAAGCTCAACCTTTATCCTTGCCTTCCTACACCTTTTTGGTTCCTGCCAGCGACTACTGGGTTTTTGTGTGTGTGTGTGTGTATGTGTGTTTTAGTGTGGGTATGATTGTTCCCTCTTTGTTTGGTTCTGGTACATGTAATCACCAGAACAGAATCCTTCCTACACCTTTTTGGTTCCTGCCAGCGACTACTGAGGTTTTTGTGTGTGTGTGTTTTAGTGTGGGTATGATTGCTCCCTCTTTGTTTGGTTCTGGTACATGTAATCACCAGAACAGAATCAAAATGGATGGCTTAAGCTGTCCCTTTGCTTAAACCACTTCAGGATCTAATCAGTTACTAAGAAATTAAAAGCTTCCTCCTGCTGGAGGCAGAAGAGGATGTAAAGATGTATATATTTTTAAGCCCTTGCAATGCAGCACTGAATTGGTTGATCGGCAAGCCAATGTAGCACTATGCCACTTGGAAATAGATATTTTTAAATTGAAAACTTCCTCCCACTACCCTATAGAAGGATAGACAGGAGGGGACAAGGAGGGAGACTTTTTGTTTTGGTTTTCCATTCTTTCTCTTTAAAAGCAGGAAGGACTAAACAGGATCATCACTTGAGATGCGTTGTGGTTTCCTGCCCTGAAAGCACCCAAGCCTTGCATGTGAGTAAGGATTGCCCTAAATGACATACCACACCACAAAGCTGTTTAATTTGATCCAGCCGGTTCACTATTTAGCGTGATCCAGTTGACCATCTAATTACACCCTTAAAAAGAAAATTTAAACCAATGGTAGTATAGTTATATCAGCGTGCAAGGAAGGAAAGAAACAATCTATACATGCCAAACAGCAAGCCCAAAAGATAAATGAGTGGTATGTATTTCAGAGAAGGAGAAAAAAGATAACAGAAGAAATGAATGGGGTAATGAAGCTTAGCTAGATTAGTCTATATTGTTTTATGTGGGAAAAATCCCACAATGCCTTGAGCTCTGTAAAGACTGCCTATGTTAACTGGTGATGCTTTTTGTCATCACTGCTGAATCTTTTGACCTTTTGTGAAGCTGTTATGCTTTGTTACTTTTTAATAAACATATAATACTTTGTTCTGACTCCTGTCCTCTGAAGATGCTGGCCACGGAGACTGGCGAAATGTTAGGAAGAAAAACCTTAAGAACACAGCCAGACAGCCCCGAAAAAACTACAACAACCATCTATAATATTTTACTCAGGCTGTGGTTTATTCAGAGAGGTGTAAGGGTTTAAAGGTACTAACCCAGTGTCTTGAGGATGTTCGAAGATTTTGAAGTATTTTGGGTTGTTTTGAGTTTCATGCAGTGTTGGTTTGGAACCTGACGCAACTACAGTATCTACTTCTGTGTATTTTCCTTGAGCACCCAGGAGTAAGTGAATCAGAGTGTGCTGGGGAAAGAACGGGTCACTGGAGTCCCCTAGACATAACCCCTCCAAGCAGAAGATGGGTTGTGTGACTGTGAAAAGATCCATTTGTGTAAGCCAAATAAACCCTCACTTGGTTGTGACTGAGCGTTGAGAGGACCGTGGACACAAACAGAGAGTGCCAGGCCCTACACTGTTGGCGCTTTCAGAAACGATGCTATGGCTAACTTTTAACAGGATAGCAATTTATGAATGCAATATAGAGAGTAGAAGTGAGGCATTTTTGAATCAATTCAGCCCCGTCTTTTTAAATTTTGATTTTTTTAAAATACAATGGTGTCTCGCAAGACGAGTGCTCCGTTTTACGATAAAATTGCATTACGATCGCAAAACAATGTTTCATATGGGGGAATTTCGCTTTGCGATGATCGGTCCCCTGCTTCGGGAACCAATTCTCGCAAAACGACGATTTTCCTACAGCTGATCGGCAGTTTCAAAATGGCCACCGGGTAAAAAAAATGGCTCCCCGCTCTTTTCTGGGACGGATTCCTCGCTGCATGGGCAGCGAAAATGGTTGCGCTATGGAGGATCTTCGCTGGACTGTGAGTTTCAAGCCCATAGGAATGCATTGATCAGGTTTTAATGCGTTTCTATGGGCTTTTTAATTTCGCTTTACGATGTTTTCGTTCTACAGCAATTTCGCTGGAACGAATTAACATCGTAATGCGAGGCACCACTGTACTGGAACTTTGCCCGGAAGTCTCTCACAGAGACGTCTGTCTCTCGCATATAATATGGATAGTGGTGATGATGAAGGAATGAGCATTCCACGAGTGATACCACAAGACGATCACAAAACAGTTTCATGCATCAAGTCAAAAGCTGTACCTTCAAACCCTAGAGGAGTTGGGTCACTTTTAATTTCATGCCTCTTGACTTTAACTGCAGGAACAAGGGGACCTGTATGAAGTTTGCAAATATGTGGATTGGAAATACAGTTAAAGGATTTCCCTGCTCTCTTAGTGTCGAAAAGCAACCGGACCCACAGTTAATGGAAATGAGAACTTAACCTGGGTGCACAGAATATTGATAAAGCAATTCTAATATTTAAAAAAGTCAGTGCATAAAAATGGAAGAAAAAGATTATGTAATTTGCTGACTAGCAAGTGCCCTTACTTTTTTAAGTACTTACAAATACAGAGGACGCAAGGAACCTCAAAGATCACCCCTATATTACTAATGCTCTTAAACTGTATTTGGTACCACAAGCAATGATTTTGTTCGATGAAAATTCTAGCTGGTAGCTGACATTTGAACACCCCCCCCCAAAAAAAACACCCCAGTATCACAATGTCCTCTAGTGACTGTAGCCAATTTTGACATTTGAACACCCCCCCCCCCCCCAAACACCCCAGTATCACAATGTCCTCTAGTGACTGTAGCCAATTTACACTGCAATGGATGCCTCAGGTGATACATCCTGTACATCTTTATATGGATTGTAGGAAATCACTTTTCTCTGGCAGCATGAAGGTCTCATTGTCTAACTTGGTACTGTGACGTAGATCACAGACTGATAACCAAAATTATTCACAACCTATTAGTTCTGTCCATTTCCTAGTGAACCAATTTGGCCAGTATCTATATCTGCTTCTGGTCAGGAGGCCATATATAAGTATGACAGTCATATAGTCTCCCTCTAATATCTGAGCAAATGGACTTGATCCATGCCTATTAGTTCTGTCCGTTTCCTAGTGAACCAATTTGGCCAGCATCTATATCTGCTTCTGGTCAGGAGTCATATAGTCTCCCTCTAATATCTGAGCAAATGGACTTGATCCATGAAAACTCAAGTTAAAATACAGCAATTAGTCTTTAAGTTACGAAACTTTTTAGGGGTGTGTGTGTCTGATATACTTGCACCGACTAACACAGCTTCTGCTTTGAAAACTTTTCTAATTTGTTTATCTTCATGGAAATCACACCACAAACCACCAAGAACAGCAATTTAATATTATAATCAATGAGCACAAGATGCCAAAACCCAGAACATATGCCCTGTTTTCCTCTGCTTTCATTATACTTCCATATGTACAGTATATTGCATGTTTACCTAATTGGGTTGATGGCTTTATTGCTTTGTGGTGTGTTTTTTTTTTTGTTCTCCTGTTATTCTTGTGTTTGTACTTGACAACTGCTCCAAGAAAGACGAAGACAAAAATCACCCAACTGGAAGGAGGAGGAAGTGGCCATAATGCAATGGTCCTCAACCTTGGGCCTTTTGATGGCTTTATTGCTTTGTGGTGTTTTTTTTTTGTTTGTTTGTTTTCCTGTTATTCTTGTGTTTGTACTTGACAACTGCTCCAAGAAAGACGAAGACAAAAATCACCCAACTGAAGGAGGAGGAAGTGGCCATAATGGACACCACAGCCAGCCAATCAGCACTGTTCAAATTCAACTTCTGGTTCAAACTAGAACAGCCCTCAGTCCTAGAAGTGAATGCAGTTCTGCTACAGGCATTGAAAATATGCAACCGAATGACTCAAAATAAGAGCAATATCATGATGGTGTCACTTCACAGCCTGAAATGTTCTATCAGGACTGCACTGGAAACTAAAAGCATCAAAGCATGTAACACATAACCTGAAGCAGTGATTGGCGGTCATAGACAGATAGATAGTTAGGTGTGCTCAGAGATCTTTATTTGTATCATTTCTTATCACCCTTTTGTCATTTCTGTGTAACTTGTTGATATGCAAACTGTTCTGCTCAGGATTTACTCCCTCCTTCTTCAGAGTACGGTAATTCTTATGGCTTTCTGTAACTATGTTTAGGGCTCTTCCCTCCTGCATTATCCCTGAAACAATGGATATAAGCTTTTGATTTGTACCTCACCATGAATTCCCAGAACAGTTGTCCTGTTTAATAGCCATAAGTTCAGCATGAGCCCAGCATAAACACCAAATACTGTTAGATAGTAGGGAAAAAAATCTTGCACTTGTTTTTACTCTTTGCCTTGCGGACCAGATTGCAAGGTCGGGCTACACGTTTTCAAGGATTGTGCCATTTATACCAACATCGGTGCAGTAAAAGAGGCGGCGAAAGGGTTAGGGTGACCAACTGTACCTTTGGTTAGAGCAGATGTGTTAGTTGTGGTGCTGATGGAGGAAGCTAAGGAAAAGCGACGGGTAACGTCTCTCTCTTTAGATTCTGGATCTGGCAGGACAGATATAGGGAGGTCAAGGACGGGTTAGAGGAAAGCAGGTGAATCAAGCAAATAAAGGATAGGAGGAATAACAGCCGTGGGAAAACAGCAGTATTCAAATCTTTCTGTGACCCAAACAGTAACCCTTCTCTCCACCATTTGAAATAGTGAACTTATTTTTTTATGTGGGTCCCTGTCAAACTCGGCCACCTGGCTTGAAGAGCGATCCAAGTGAAGACTTGTATTTGGATTAATTAGCCATGAAAACAAGAAGTCATAGTGATGTTTATGGCAAAAGGTACTACTTACTAAAACAGTCACAGCTGATGCTAACCTCAAAATCAAAAGAGACAAACAGCTAGTACTTTGGGTTGGATATGAGTGAGACCCTATGAAATGAAGTGAGCAGGAAGTGAGCAGGAGAACTAAAATGGCCCATTTGGTCACACAGTTGTCTATAGGCAGGTTTCCATGTCCGTTAAAGGGAATGTTGGTTTTCTAGTCTTTCCGGGGATGTAACACAACGATAAACTAAAAAGCTACAAGCCCAGAAGTATATTAAGGGGACTGTACAGATCATGTTAGAGCTCAGCACTGCTTCAGACATTCAAACAAATGGTATTCAAATATTCAAACAACACTCATACTCAAAATGGTATTGTCTTACATGAAATATACTACCCAGTTCTAACTCTTAATATCCTGAGGTTTAAGTCTGGAATCCTTTTGGGCCAGAAACGTCTCCTGGAAATTAATCTTCCTCGCCCTTCCCTCGTTGTGCAGGACAGACGATAATTTTATGCTGCAATTTGGCAAGCCCTCAAAATGAGATCATGCTTATACAGGTATTTTATTAGTCTAGTTCAACGAGGCATTCAAACTAGAATAATATTTGCAAAAGCATATTTGCATGTATCCTGCAGCATGAACCTATGTAAGCGTTATACCAGTTTCAACAGTTATGATTTCCCAAGGGGTAAAACAGAAAATGCCCAAATGTTCCTGTGGCGTTCGCCCTTGTGGCCCCTGCTTGTTCTCCCCTCACAAAGGCTCACATTGTGTTTTCTTCTCGCTGCCACCAGTGGATTACCTCAATCCACAATATAAATGATGTTTGTCAGAACACTTGTCTTGTGAACAGAACACTTGTCTCTTTCTTTACTCCCCATTGTTTGCTCTCAGTTTTTGTAATGTCTATTTTATGTAACTTGTTTTATATATATTTATTGTCTTATTTTTATGTTGTTAGCTGCCTAGAGTGGTCTTAACTGACCAGATAGGCGGGATATAAATAAAATAAAATAAATAAATAAATAAATAGATTGAATAAGAACAGAAGTTTCTCAGATACACCTTATACAAAAGTAAATAATCAACAGTCCTGTCAGTACATACTTCTTTTCTCTTGCTACCGGTATATCATTACCACCTTCTCTACCTATTTTCCTAACCAGCTCTATCTCTCTCAGTATCTGTTCCCTCTCTCTCTCTGACTAACCAGCCCTATCTGACTCCTCCTTCTCCCGCCAAGCCTCATGTAGCTGCTGACTC